TTGTAGCAGAGTTTTCCCTCCTGACCATCATGTGCTACAACCGCTACGTTGCCATCTGCAAACCCCTGCACTACGGGACCCTCCTGGGCAGCAGAGCTTGTGCCCACATGGCAGCAGCTGCCTGGGCCTCTGGGTTTCTCTATTCTCTGCTGCACACAGCCAATACATTTTCCCTGCCCCTGTGCCAGGGCAATGCCCTGGGCCAGTTCTTCTGTGAAATCCCTCACATCCTCAAGCTCTCCTGCCCAGGCACATACGTGAGGGAAACTGGGCTTCTTGCTTTTAGCGCTTTACCTTCTTTAGGATGTTTCATTTTCATAGTTTTCTCCTATGTGCAGATCTTCAGGGCTGTGCTGAGGATCCCCTCTGAGCAGGGACGGCACAAAGCCTTTTCCACGTGCCTCCCTCACCTGGCTGTGGTCTCCTTCTTTGTCACCACTGCAACATTTGCCTACCTGAAACCCCCCTCCATCTTCTCCCCATCCCTGGATCTGGCCCTGTCAGTTCTGTACTCGGTGGTGCCTCCAGCCCTGAACCCCCTCATCTACAGCCTGAGGAACCAGGACCTCAAGGATGCCCTGAGGAAAATGACGACTGGATGCTCTTCTGAAGCATCAAACTGCCTGGTTTCTGCTATGTAGCATTCAGGATGGAATTCACTAATGGCCTGACCTGCCCTTTCAGGGTTTTTGGGGAGATTATTGAGTTGATTCTTGCAGTTTTGTTCTGTACAATGAAATATTATTATGCATTCGCCTTCTAATGTAGTGTCCACCTGAATTTGAATCAGAGATGTAAAAATGTTGAATTGTGCTCTCTGAGTATTTAAACAAAATAAAGGACCCTGCAGTGCCTTCTTTGTCCAAGACCCTTCTTCTCAGCTGTTCCTAAAGGACAGCACACTGCAGGACAGGGGGGATTGGCAAAGGCCAAGGGCACTGCCAGGGAGCAGCAGAGCTTGGGCTTTGCAGAGCTGCTCTTTCCACTTCCACACTGGCCTTGTGAGCCCCTTTCTGGCTGCAAGGCCTGAGTGCTCTCTGAGCACAGTCCTGGGGGTGGGAGCCCTTTGAGCACAGGCAGGGACAGGCAGTGGGAACTTGTGAAGCAGAGCTGGGCTCCCTGACAGCATCTCCAGGATGCTGTGGGATCTTCTGAGGGCACTGCATGGACTGGGTCACTTCTGTGCCCTTGCTGCAGGGCTGGAACTCTCCTGCAGTGACACCAGGACACTCCTGCTCTTTGCATTGCCAGCCTGATTTGGAAATCCAGTCTTGCCCTGCTGTTGCCAGGGACATGCTGGGAGTGCTTCAGAGCTGCCATCCTGGGGCAGCTCCTGCCCAGCGTGGGCAGGCACAAGGTCTCTCCCCCTGCTCCT